GTTCTCTACTGATTGATACAACTGTACATGAAAGGACAAGAGACCTAGGTAACTGCAGATATGTGAACAAGTATGAGTTTAACCAGTAGCTATGATTTCCCATCTCTGAATCTTCTTTCACATGAAAATATCTTTCAATTTTTATAACTCCTGAAGAGAATACAACTTGCTCATGAACTAACAAAACAGCAGGCTCTTGCCGACCCATAGCTGACTCTTGGGAGGGTTTTCACAGGCAGGAAAATCACAGAAGAGGTTATTGCTGTTGTAATAAACTGTTGACTCAGAACTAACTTAGAGCTGATCCTCTAGTGGGTTTTCAGAGGCAGTAAACACGGGAGGAGAATGAAAGTCTTCCTCTGGTGGAGCAGCTGGTAGATTAGAATTGCATGCCTTTGGGTTGGCAGTGCAGCTCCTTACCATTAAACTACCTGAGATCTCTAACCTATGTTAAATAATTGGAATTTTTCCTTTTTTCTTTAACAACACCTATCCTCCCCAGCTCATTAAAAACAAACAAAAAACCCAAAGCAAACAAATAAAAAAACAAAATTACACCTATGCTGTTAACTAGCAAATCTAAGTATCTTATCATATTAAAAGGTAATATAAGAAAGGTGAAATTCACGTAAATATAGAAATGACTGAGAAATGGAGGCATTTTGTAATTCTCAACTATGTTGTTGTTCATTGCCACTGAATCAATTCTAGAACACATTTAACATAGTAGTTAGCAATGACCTGGTCTGAAATACTAAATGTGCTAGAATTCTAATAACGTTTCATTATTTCATGGATTTACTTGTAATTCATTTACATACTTTATTACAGTAAAAAAAGCACCTTTCATATTTATGCTTAATGATATTTGATATGTCAGCTTGTATATGTAAACTCACCTTTAATTTTGAAGCCTTCACTTTTTTGGCTGAAGCAGGTAAGGTAGTATCTTTGTCAAAATTAATATTTTGTTGAGTTTCTGCAAAAGCAACAGAAAAGGAATTGTACAGATCATAGCCTGTGCTTATATATTTTACCATAGGAAAAAAACCCCATCCAAATATTTTATTCCAACTATTACTGCAGCAATATAAAGTTTTATAAATATAAACTATTTTTTAAGAGTTACGATTTTTTAAATTGTAAATTTTTCAGTTACTTGTAAAATATTTTATATATACCTGATACTTTTCTGATTTTCCTTTATTACTTAATAGAAAGGTTATCACCAAAGGGAAAAAAACTGTGATTGTGTTTTTACAATTTGCTGTTTATAAAACATTATGATGATGAAAGCATTAGTCTACACTTGATTATTTCACCTACAAAGCCTATAAAGTAAGAAAATATATACTTCCAACTTCTCACTTTTAGAAACATCATATCTTTAAGTATAGTTATTCATAATTTTAAAGTGTGTGAGATCCATTTTAAATTTTGGGTTCTTATTACCTTTTTGGTTGGGAAATCGTTCTGCTTTCTGAAAGGATACAGATCCTTTTATTACTTCTGAAGTAGTCACATCATAAGCACCTGGAGATGGCGCACAACCTAGAGTAAACATAAAATAATAATGTGCTATTTAGTATAATTTATGATTCTAAGTTGAAAATATGTAATAAAGTGAATATAAATGTAAAAGTGCCATTAATAAAATGAATTGTTTGTGTTATTTAAAAATATAATAAAGAATAGGAACTACTCATGTGATTCTCAACTCATTGCCATCATGGGAGACCCAACGCATAGTTGACCCTCCAGCAAGTTTCAGAGGCTATAAATTACAAGGAAGGAGGATAGCCCACTTTCCCCCATGGAGCCAGCCTCAGCGGATTTGAATCATCACCAAGGGACTACTCATTCCTATGACAAATGTATCCAAAGGACTTATTAGGTGATTTTGAGTCAAATACAACTCATAGTTTCACTGTGAACAACAGGTCTGAATCCTGTCCTATCTTGTACCATCCTCATTATCTCTGTCACCCAAGAGCTCATTTTTAAAGTCATTATGTCAGCCCATCTTGTTGAAGGTTATCTCCTTTACCATCCCTCCACTTTTCCAAACATGATGTCCCTCTCTAAGGAATATTCTCTCCTAACAACATTCCCAAAGTATGTGAGATGATGTTGTAATATCATGCTTCCCTCTAAGGAACATCCTGACTGCACTCTATCCAAGACCTATTTATTTGTTCTTTTGGCAGTCCATGAGATATTCCATGCTCTCCTCCAGAGCCACAACTCAAAGGCATAGATACCTTTCCTGCCTTCTTTATTCACGGTCCAACTCTCAGATGAAGAGGAAGAGACTGAAAAGACTATGGATTGAATCAGGCACCTTAGTCTTTAAACTGACACCACTTTTCTTTTTTGCAAAGGTCCCTGGCTACAGATTTTCCAAATGCAATCCATCTTTTGATTACCTGAACAAAATGTACCAAAGTTATTGGTTGTGGATCAAAGTAAGATGGAATTACTGACAATTTCTATCTTTTCTCCACCTATCTTGACGTTGCCTATTGGTCAAGTGGTGAGGATTCTTGTTTTCTTGATGGTGAGAAGTAATCACACTGAAGGCTGCAGTCTTTGATCTTTTATAGCAAGCACCTCACGTCACCCTCCCTTTCAGCAGGCAATGTTGTGTCATCTGCATAATGCAGGGTTATTTGCTGAAGAGTCTTCTTCTGATCCTGAAGCCACATTCTTTTCTTTTAAGTCTATCTTCTTGAGTGATTTGTTCAGCATTGTGATAAAACAGGTATAGAGAAAGGACACAGCCCTGACTCATCCTTTTCTTGATTTTAAACCAAGCAGTGTTCCTTGCTCTGTTCACACAACAGCTTCCTGGTCTAGGTATATACCAGTTTCACATGACTAAAATACATGTTCTGGGATTCCTATTCTTCTCAATGTTATGCATAATTTGTTATAATCCACACAGTCTAATGCCTTTGTATAGTTGATAAAACACAAACAGATGTTTTTCTGGTACATCCTGCTCTCAGCCGCAATCCATGTGACATCAACCACGATATCCCTGATGCCATGGTCTCTTCTAAATCCAGGATGAATCCTGGTAGTTCTCTGAAGATATACTGTTCTGGCCATTTTAAAATAATTTTCTGCAAGATTTTGCTTGTATATGCTATAAATAATATTGTTTGATAATTTCCACATTTTGTTTGAATCACTTTTTTTGGGAATGTGAACAAATACAGATCTCCTCCATTCTGCTAGCTAGGTAGCTATTTTTAAATTTACTGGCATAGCCTGGTGAGCACATCCAGAGCTGCATCTGTTTGTTGGAGCATGTCAAGTGGGTATCCCATCATTTTCTGGGGCCCTTTTTGGCCAATGCTTTCATCTCTACTGGTTCCTCACTATATGCTACTTGCAGAAAAAATGGTTCTATGCCATCCAATTCTTATTTGGTACAGTGACAAAGTGTATTCCTCTCAGGCATCTAAAAAACAAAACAAAACACCAAAAAACAAAGACCAAACAAACCATAATAAACACCCAAATCAAAGGAAAAGAAACAGATCAAAAGAACAAGTCTACATTAGTAGAACTGTAAAGACAGTCTTGTTTTGGATTGAATATTATATATGGTAAGCAACATAGTTTTGTTAATAAGAATTAAATATAGGAAACATCAGGATTTAGCCTAAAACTTGTTCATATTCCATTCTTGATTAATATCAATACATCAAAAAGAAAAAAAAATATCAATACATCAGATTCATTGATCATGAGAGCTGCAATTTGAATAATATAATAAAAGCTAACCAAGGTAACAGCAACTGAAGGTTTTGGGGCATTTACTAAATGTCACACAGTACCCTGTGGATATTATATTATTTGTCACAGATACTCTATGATAGATTAATAGCTCTAAATATTAGAAAGCTTAGGTTCAGAAAATTTATAAAGCTATGTTATTCAGACATAGGTTTGTCTATGTCTGAATAACAACAACAACGTTATTCAGAACACAAACTTACTAGGCTATATTTCTATGTTTCAGGAATTTCACTTAGATATAGTTCTAAACTGAAGATATCTCACTCAGAGTACTTATTCTCAGCAGCAATCAGGCCCTCAAGACTTCAAATTAAAATAAAGCCTTTAGTGTAAAGTTTTCTCTATTATTGTTGTTATGAGCCGTCAAGTTGCTTGAGATTCACAGTGACCCTATGTACAATAGTTCTGATCCTTGCTCTATTCTGTGCCAATCTTCTTGTCTCTGACACACCTACCCCCAGTCACTGAATTATCCCAGTCACTGAATCAATCCATTTCACCCAGGGTCTTCCTCTCTTGCGCTATCCCACTTCCCTTCCAAGCCTATGTCCCTTTCCAAGGTCTGCTCTCTCCTTGCAGCATGTCCAAAGTATGCCAGACAAAGCTTCAAAATCCTTGCCTCCAAGGAGCAGCCTGGTTTCCCCCTTGCCGGGATGAACCTTTTTGCTCTCTTGGCAGTCCATGGTATATTCAATACTCTTCTCCAGCACCACAACTTCAGAGGTATTGATTCTTCCTCTATCATCCTTAGTCATTGTCTAGCTCTCTGATTCATAGCAAGTAAATGCAAAAACCATGGCCTGGATCAGGCACACTTTAGTCTCCAGACTGACATTATTGCTCTTCTTTTATAGACTCTCATAAAAAAGAAACAGAAATAGCAGAGTCCCAACTATCTCAAGGCAACTACTGCTGTTCCCTAAATGTTTTACAAAAGGCAGGTAGAGCCTTTATATTTCCTGTTCTCAGAACCCATTCTACATCCATAGTAATCAAAATACTGTGGTACTGATAGATACAACTGTGTTGTTACATGTTGTCAAGTCAGGAGCAAGCAATAGCTGATGCTCCAACAGGTTTACAGAGGCTGACCTATGACAGAAAAAAAAATTGAGAACCCAGAAGTAAAGCCATCTATCTATGGTCAGCTGATCTTGGACAGAGATAAAACCCACTGAATAGGAAGACAGCTTCTTTGGCAAATGGTGGTAGCAAAACCGGGTATCTATTTGCAGAAAATGGAAACAAGATCTATACCTCAAACTACATACAAAACATAACAAGGACCTAAGCATAAAATCTAAAACTATATATAGGACATCTGAGAAAAAAATAGTAGCAAACATAGGAACGCTAAGCTATGGCATGAGCTCAGGTGGCTTAGTAGTAAGGAACTGTGCTGCTAACATAAAGGTACACGTTTGAATCCACCAGCTTCTCTGCAGGAGAAAGATGGGTACTCTACTGTGTGATTTATGGCCTCTGAAAATACACTGAAGGCTCAGCTATGGGTTGGTTCTGAGTTGACGGTACACAACAATAATAATCTATGGTAGTATTAGGCTTATCAAGTATAACTAAAAATGCATAATCAGCAAAATAAACTAGATGATTGGGGCTTCCTAAATCTTAAGTCCTATGTGAGTAAAAAAATTATTCAAAAGATTAAAAAGGGAATCTGTAAGATGAGAAAATATATTTTGCAAAATATATATCTGATAAAGGACTAATTTCTGAAATGAGACCTTAAGAAAACAGAGCAACAGCCTGATTGCAAAATGGGCAGAGGAATGAAAAGACCCTTCACCAGTGACAGATGGGCCAACAAAGACTTGAAAAATGCTCAAGATCATCAGCTGTTGTTGTTTATCATCAGGTTAGAACTGACCCTCCAGAAGGTTTTCAGAGGCAGTTAATCAGACGGGAGGAAACTGCCCATCTTTCTCTGAGGTACAATGGTGGATTTGAACTGTGTGCCTTTGTGTGGATTGGCACTACGGTCATGAGAGCTTATCAGCTATTGTTGTTATGTACCCACAGATGACTCTCCAATGGGTTTTCAGAGGCAGTTAATCACATAGGATTACCTCTAGGCCACCAAAAATCCCCAACAACTACTAGAGAGATGCAATCAAAAAGAAACAATGAGTTATCATTTCACCTCAGCAACAAGAACAAAGTTCAATAAGATGGTAAATAAATTCTGGTAAGGGACTCTCCTATACTGTTGGAAGGACCATTAAATGGTGTAACCATAACGAAAAGCAGTTTTGTGCTTCCTTCAATTGGTGAAAATAGAAAAACCATTTGATCCAGCAATCTCACTATGCTGTTGTATACTATTGACTCAGAAAAATCTCATAGCTGAGCCTCCAGCAGGTCTTCAGAAGCAATTAATTGCACAGGTGGAGATAGTTCATCTTTTCTCCCAAGAAGCAGCTGTTGGATTCAAACAGTGTGCTTTTGGGTTTGTTATGCTACTTCCTTCCACTAGGCCATCAGAGCTCCCTTATTAAGTACTTATTAAGTTCATATCTTAAAGAATTAATAGCTGTTACACAAACAGATACAATGCACTCGTGTTCACTGTAGCAAATATTCACAAAGAGATGCAAAGACATGGAGACAACCGAAGTGTCCATCAAAGGGCAAACAGACAAATAAGTTATGGTATTGAAACAATGCACTATAAGATACTAAAAGACAATTTATAAAAATCATGAAGCACGCACAACATAGGTAATTGAAGGGAGTAACACTGGGTGAAATAAGCCACAAAAAAACAAATAGTGTATAAGACTGTCATGTGCCATCGAGTCGCCTGCGACTCATAGCAACCCTGTGCACAATAGTTCAGAAGCCTGCCCTGTCTTGAGCCAGTCTTTCTGACTCTGACAGCCTACCCCCAGTGACCTAGTTACTGTATAAATCCATCTTATAAATGGTAATGTACAATAAGTGTATCATCAGATATATTGTATTATAATAATGTTATAAAGCAAACTGTGTGTGAATGAAATGAAAACCAAAGTGCTTTTTTAAACTTCCCTAAAACCATTTTTTACAAATGGGCAAGTAGACTTACTAGTGGGTCTGAACAGCATTCTTTTTAAAAAGGAAACACAAAATATATCAGTGTTCATCATTGTTAGAAAGTTATCCAGTGTTTGCAAGGTTAAACATTGTTCTTCAAAATTTTTGCTTCAGTTATCTACCTCTACAGACCCATACATGCATACGTGTTGTTCTTATGTGCCATCGAGTCACCTGTGACTCATAGTGACACTATATACAACAGCTCTAAGCCTTGCTCTATCCTGTGCTAATCTGTCTCCTACACACCTACCCTGATTACCTGTCACTGAGTCAATCTATCTCATAAAGGGTCTTCCTCTCCTATGCTGTCCCTCCACCCTCTCAAGCATGACGTCCTTCTCCAAGGACTGGTCCCGCCTTGCAACATGCCCAAAGTATGCCAGATGAAGCTTCAGAATCTTTGCCTCCAAGGAGAAGCCTGGTCTTACCTTCTCCAGGATGAACCTGTTTGTTCTCTTAGCAGTCCGTGGTATACTCAATACTTTTCTCCAGCACCACAGCTCAAAAGCATCAATTCTCCTTCTGTCATCCCTAGTTTAGGTCTCTGATGCAAAAAGCATGGCCTGTATCAGGCACACCTTAGTCTCCAGACTGACATTGTTGCTCTTTAGTACTTGGAGAGGTCTCTGACAGCACACTTTCTCAATGCAATATGTCTTTTTAATTTCCTGGCTTCTAGTACCAAGAGTGTTGACTGTGGAGCCAAGCAAACTAACACTGTTAAGAAGCACACAAAATATATCTTGAGTGTTGCTGAGATGATTTTTAACTGAGTGATCCTACATGACAGAACAGAACTACCTTACTGGGCTTTCTAGGTTACAATCTTTACAGGAGTAGAATTCTAAGTTTTTCCACTGAGGTGCTGCTGGAAATATTTGAATTGTCTGCCTTTCCTTAATAGCTGAACACTTAATCATTGCACTTTCAGGGTTCCTGATATCCTAGGTAAAGATATAAAATGTATTTCTTACTCTGAGACCCAGTAAAAAAGTTTGGAAATCATTGTTCCCACCAATTCTAGTCAGTTGCTGTTGTGTGCCATCACATGGGAGGAGACTGCTCATCCTTCTGCAGAGTAGCTAGAGGATTTGAACTGTGAGACTTTGGATTTGTGGTATAGCTTCTTACCACTAGGCCAAAAGAGTTCCCTAATTCTAGGTAGACTACAAAAATACAAAGGATAGAATTAAGTACCCATTCCTTGATCTGGAATCATGGTCATTTATATGCCCTGGCACAAAGTACTAATTCAGAGTATTCTGAGATCTAAATGTTTTAATAGGTAGACAGTGGATAATTCCATTTTGGAGGAATAGTCTGAAAAAAACTCCCAAATTATATGTCAATTTCTTTTGTATAATAATTATATTTAGTCAAATAATGAACTAAGAACTTCTTTATTTGAAGACACTGCTCCAAGGACATTTGACTAGTGCAAATTGAAGACAACTTGCTTGTACACATTCAAATATTTCAACATATCAACCCTGAAAAATTACTACACTTGGTTAGAAACATGGTATATATCCTCTTTTTCTCAAGCCCCCAGAAAAGTGGAGAGTTAGAGGAGACAAAGACCCTCAAGTGAGATGGAATGATGCAATGATTCCAACAATGAACTTAATTAAGCATAGGAGAGGCTGTGAAGATGGACAAGAAGGGGCAGTTTCAATTTGTTGCACATAAGGTCCCTGAAACAGAGCTGAGTCAATGGCATCTAACCTGTTAGCCTCAAGGGATGGACTGACAATAGTACTCCAACAATAGGTTCAAAGAGAGAAACAGTTGTAAGCATAGTGAAAGACCAGATAGTGTTTTGTTTTGTTTTGTTACACACTAGGTCACTATTAGGTGGAATTGACTTGGCATATATGTTAGCCATTTAAGGATGCATGAAAGAATAAGATTCCTGACCTTAGGGTGCTATAGCTAAATAGATGAAGCAAGTATGAAACAACTTGAAAACAGTTATTCAAGTATACAAGCATATCACTATGATTTTAAAACAAAATGGAGACATCAAAGAAAATTGTCACGACTTTTACTGGTAGCTGTATTTGTGTGGGGATGTATGGGGAGGGTCATGGTCATGAAGAGTACAGTTCAGCTATGCTCTCTGCTTAGGAAAACTTCTGTGGGAAAAGTGTGGACTATACTGCTCTATACCTGGTAGAACATCTAGAAAACTCATAGTCCATCACTGGGACAATGTTCTCAAAAAGGGATGATTAGCACAAGACTAGACAGCTGGCAGGGTTAAGCATCATTATGTAGGTTGAGGATAACTAAGACTATACTTAACGAAAACCCTTCCCTAAAGAGTCAAATTTGACAGCTCTTGAGTTCAGGAACTAAGTTAAAATCTAGCTTTGTGAAACTGCAGCACAATGCAATTGTCACATGCTCTGTATTTTCCTTAATGCTTAAATTTACTTAGTTATGACCTGTCAGATCTTGCAAAATAACCACAAACTTTTGGAACCTAAGGTTAACATTATGACTTGATCTGCACGATACAAAACTAAGGCAGGTAGTCAGTACTTGTTTCTAAGTAGTATACTTTGCCTACTACATTAAATGTGTCAAACTACTGATGTTTGTATTTTCCTCTTCTTCCACGTGGAATGGACCGCCCTCCTTCCATTTTGCCTCATCCTTATCCTTAGAACTCAGCCTGGCTGCCACCTCCTTTTCTAAATATTTTCTTTGAATCCTCAAAACAAGTTAGAAATCCTCTTTAATAGCAGCCTATCTTTATTATTCCCATTAGAGAACTCAGTTTTTCTGTAACAGATTATGTTATCTCCCAAATGAGAAAAATTTGCTTAAATTGAGATTTATCTCATGTGTGTATCTCCAGTAGGCACTCTGCCAATGAAATGGATTAAGCATTGGGCTACTAACTGGAAGTTCAGTGGCTCAAGCCCAACAGCCACTGTGCAGGAGGAAGATGAAGCAGTCCTTTCCCATAAGGACTTAAAGTCTTGGAAACCCTGTAGGATTGTTCTAGTGTCGTTATAAGTTGGAATTGACTCAAAAGCAGTGGGTATTGCCAGTACTTAGCTTGAAGCTGAGTTGGAAGGATGGCAAAGAAAACACAGAAAGTTTAAGGTAAATGGGAAAATCAAGGTTCAAATGTGGCTTTGCCTGCCATTCAAGAAGATACAACTCTGTGCCAGATTGCAGACACTTGGAGACGTTGTTGAGTAAGACTCTCCTTCCAGTGTAGCTTTAGGACCTCAAAAAAGTTACTGCTATTTGAAGCTCAAATTCTTTATACTTGAAACATGAATTTTAAAAAATTACCTATCTCATAGTATGATTGTGAAGATTATTGACTAAAATGAGTCATCAATGTCTCATCCCTACACTCCAAATAACTGTCAATTGTTATTATTCTTGAAACTGTGGGGCTGAAGCACTGTTATCCAGTCAGAACCCACTGGTAGCTGACCCTTAAGTGGGTTTCCAGAGGCTGTAAACTGCCTGCTTTTGGGTTGACAGCAAAAGTCCTTACCCACTAGATCAGGAGAACTCCCTAATCCATAACACAGAAAACACTTTTCCTTAAAAGACTTACTCTTTGACTAGCTGGGAGAGAATACAATCCTTGAATCTTAATTAAAAATGAGCTTGTGCTGGTCTACTTGCACTTGGGTTTCCTTTCCGAACAGAAGGCCAGACATTTTTTAAATTTACACGCTAACTGATAAAAATAAAAATACAACAAATTATCAAATAGCGTATAATTGTGCTTAGCTCTACTACTTATAGGATGTATTGGTTGCTAGAAACCTCTATTTTTTCACTTGTAAAATGAGGACAATATTAGTACCTGCTGCTGCTCAAGAAATAAAGGAAAACATAGAGGGAATGCCTTAGCACAGTCCTAGCACATAAATGAGTGCCTCCCAAGGGCTTCCTAACCACTGTGATTAAATAGTACAGTAGTTAAAACCACAAAAGTAGTTAAATAGTTAAAAGCACAAGATGGTGGAAGTCTGGGTTCATTCCGTGGTTTGAGCACTATTGGGAAAATAATTTTATTTGGTCTGTCTTGTAAATCCATAAAATAGTATCTTAGCAGAACTGCCTAGGGTAAATTGTGAATACTGACTGTCATTACTTCAGTCACATTCGCTTCACTAACAGGGAACATTGATGGCCTAGTGATTAGAATTGCTATTGAGATCATTTCACACCCTGTACCTGTCTTTACCATTTATCTTTCATCCAGGCCCTTATGGAATATCCAAAAGAAATCCACAACTTCGGACGAAAATGAATTATCCTATCAGAGGCCTTCCTGGCCTTCAAAAAGCTTCCTCTTCTCACCCCTATCTCTCCACTTAGTTTTAGTTTCCACACAGAGCTAAGTTTATGGACTGTATCCATCACTTGCAAATAAACATCAAGGGCAACACTGCTTAGCTCGCTGCTTTTATCCATGGCCTCTCGGAAGGCCTTTGCAAGTAGTGTTCTTAGCTGCGGTGGAGTCGAGTCCGACATATAAATATCATGGTAAGGAGTACACTTTTCATTTGAGGGAAAAAAGTCGATTACTTTTGCCCCTTCTCAGCCCTAAACTAGCCTCCGATGAAGGATCGGAGAGCCAAGTAGCATGAGAGCATCTCCCGTCCCCCAGCAATTTCCCACGTACGCACCAGATGGGTCATTGAATCGTTTCAGGGGCGCCTTAGAAAAGGACATGATGAAGACCAGCTCCACTAACCGAAGATCACAGCGACCCTTCACAAACCGCCTACAGAATATTACAATCTCCTCCCTTAAAATTCAAACCTCCCCGCACATCTGCCCCTGTTGCTGTCAGCCAATTGAAAATCTAAACACTGGAGTAGACCAATCCTGCACGGGAATGCTAACAGAGCATGCTCAAACTGTTCTGGTGCATCCAATTAAGTGTCTTAGGAATTGAGACTGACAGCCAATAAGAAATTAGTACCGCCCTCCAATCCCTGTTCCCTATGATTTCTGACGTTTCTCAATGGCCAGAGCGGCAGCAGCTTTTGCGCAAGCGCCTGTTTCACACTTGAAAAATTAGGAGTTTTAGCGTCAAATACGTGACAGTCATGCAAGGTTCCCGTGTCACTGACTGCAACTGTTGTTTGAATGCAAAGTATTCTGTGTTTCAGTCATTTTATACGGGAGTCTTTCAGTGTCCACAGTGGCTGCAGAGAGGAAATATCCGAGCCAAGAGGTTCGTGAGCCACTGCGCATGTGCAGTGGCCCAAATGGAGGCTGGGATTTAAGCTGTGCGGGTTGGTGGTCTGCGCATGCGCTACGCTCTTTTTGCGGCGCAGTGACGGTCAGGAGGCGACGTAAGGATGTCAGCTCCGTTTGAGGAACGCAGTGGAGTGGTTCCTTGCGGAACGCCGTGGGGCCAGTGGTACCAAACCCTGGAGGAAGTGTTCATTGAAGTTCAAGTGCCACCTGGCACTCGCGCCCAGGATATCCAGTGTGGCCTCCAGAGCCGCCATGTGTCACTAGCCGTGGGTGGCCGCGAAATCTTCAAGGTAGCGGCCAGTCTTGTCTTGTTCCTATTCCCGGCTTCAAAAAATTCCCGATTTGTAAGAGGGAATGATTCCATGAGAAGACTTTTGGAAGGTCCATTAGTTTCTGTGGCAGCACTTTATGGGTGAAGGCTTAGCGAGAACTTCCCCCATTGCTTGGTGTTTGGCCAGAGTAACCACTAAGAATTTCAGAGTTGAGGATGACATACTTCTGGCATTCTCCCTCTCCCCCCTTTAACTTTTTTCCTTGTAATTTGAATGAAAGTTTACAGGAGTACTTATAGGGTATTTGTTTTCCCTTCAACAGTTCATACATTTTTAGTCGGATTACTGGCAGTTGCTCTCCTGGGCCCTCCGTTATATCTCCATTCTTCCCTGTTCTTTAGTGTGGTTACCATTTCATGCACCGTTTTGTCTCCCATCCTATCTTAAGAGCTTTTCCAGGAGATAACGTTGCCCTTTTTAGCTGATAGCTTTGATTATTGTAGTGTAAACCAACACCAGGACACACATTTACTGGTGTTGGTCATCTTCGAGACTTGAATATTGTTTGGCTGAAAGTTGAACCTACGGATGAGTTCAGTTTCAAACTTAAAGGCCTCCAGCAGTCACTCTCAGACCAGTAAACCTGGTATTTTAAAAGATACTTAGTTGTGTTCCACAACTTTCTCCTCTCTTATCTTAGGACCTGCTATTGAGATGCTTTTCGGAGTGGTTGCTTCTAACAGTAGAGTGGTTTATTTGCCCTTTGCACTAATTGTTTCCATATGGTTTTGATTTTCTTTACTTTTTGCTGTAGTCTGGGAGAAACAAATGTACGTTAGGTGGCCACTTTGGCTTTACTTTCAAACAAAATAAGGGTGCCTTGTTTCTCAAGAGGGCCTTCAAGTGAGAACAGTGGGTTGAATCATTAAAGCAACATTTGTAGTACATACACTTTGTTCCAGCCACTGATCTAGTTACTAGGAAAACACTATTGAACAGAGTAGCTACTCACAACTAAACAAATGTTTAAGGCAGGTACTAGTAAGTAAAAGAAAATACTTTGTTATGCAAAGTATAAAATATGGCAAGCTATAATTTTTAGAAGATGTTGAAGTAACCCTTTAGAGATGACATTAGATAATTTTCATAATTTTTACAATTTTTGAATGGTTGTGGAATGGTCACCTTGTACAAGAAATACGTGAAGACAAATCTATACTCTTTTATGTCTTTCCTTTGAAAGTGTAATCTGCTTTTTCCTTGAGCGTGTAATCAAAATTAATCAAGTTGAAGTTGGATGCTGTCTTAACTGAGTTTTCTAAATATTTCATGGTTGTAGAGTAGTAGTGAAGGGAGTCTGCTTATTATGAGATCACACCACCAATTTTCTGGCTTTGGGCTAGAGATTACTCAGCATTTCTTAGGCAATTTCTTTACTCTTATGCGACAGTATTTAGAGTTCCTTGTGAGGTACAGTTGAGTCAAGTATGATTCATAGGTGACCTTATGAACAACAAATCTGAACCCTGTACACTGTGTCATCCTTATTATCTCTGACACGCTGGAGCCCTTGGATTACTAGGAGTGTAATGTGTTAGCTATGTGAAGAACTGAGAGAGTAATGCTTGATTTAAAGTCCAAACTACCAAGGTCAATGACTACAGCCTTCAATTTGAATTGCATCTCAACATCAAGAAGACAAAAATTCTTACCACTGGACCAATAATCAGGATAGATGGAAAAAAGATTGACATTTGCAATAATTTCATCTTACTTGGATCCACAATCAACACCCTTGGCATCAGCAGTCAGGAGATCATGAAATGTATTACAGTAAGCAAGTATGCTGGCAAGCTCTGGTGGCCTAGTGGCAAGAAGCAGCACGGCAATTCAAGAGTTGTGTGGTTCTAATCCACCAGATGCCTAGCTGCAGAAGGAGGGACAAGCTCCTCCTGTATCTGTCAGATCTGATTTGATGGCGCATGCGCGCGCACGCACCCACACGGAGCAAGTCTGCTGCCATTGCTGAGAAGTAATTAAGTCAAAGACAGGTTTGCAGGTGTGCATGATTCAAGCCATGCTTTTTTAAATCACTTTCTTTTTTTGTTGTATATAAGGATGACGGAGAAATAATTGATGCCTTTGAACTGTGATGATGGAGAAGAGTACTGAATATCCCTCAGATGGCCAAAAGAACAGATAGATATTTGAGAAATTACAGCCAGAATGTTCCTTGGGTGAAAGACAGCACAGCTTTGTCCCTTATAATTCAGGCATGTTGCTAGGAAAGGCAATATCTTGAAGGAGGGAAAGCTGGAGGGTCAAGGAAAGAGGAAGACCTTTGGCAAGATGGATTGACACGGTGACTACAGCAGTGGGATCAAGATTGTCAGATGATGAGGATGGCACAGGATAAGACAGAGTTAAGATCTATAGTTCATAGGGTTGCTTACGAATTGTACTTGATGGCACTTAACATGTCAGCTACTAATATTTTATAGGATAGTATTTTGAGGACCTCAGAAGAATGATTTATATCAACTTATATCTTTTTAACAAAATGTGGCAATATTTATTAGCTTTATAACAAAATGGCCTTTCTGAATAGTTATGTAGTTTTTGTTTCCTGTACAATAGTTTAAGATTACTATTTAAATTTACTTTTGTAAAATTTGGAAGTTTTTCAATCACTAAAAGCTAATTTTGCATGTCTATTAAACCACTAGGATTTTTTTTTTTCTCACTGGTATTGTTAAGTACCATCAAATCCACTATGACTCATGGTGACCCTCTGTGAGCAACAGAGCTGAACCCTGCCCTATCCTGGGGCAGCCTCAGAATTGTAGTAATCAATGTGTCAGTCCCTCTCATTTGGAGTCTTCCTCTCTTTCTCTGACCCTTTTCCTTTCCCAGCATGATGTCTCCCTCCAACAACTGGTTCCTCCTGAAAATATGATCAAAGTAAGTGAGTTTTACCATCCTTATCTCTAAGAAGCACTCAAGATTGTGCTTCCTTCAAGACAAATTTGTATTTTCTTTTAGTTGTTGTTGATCGCCATTGAATTGAGCACGACTCATAGTGACTCTATGAACAAAAAGCCTGAAGCCTTTCTATAACTATCATCATTCATCAAAGTTAGTCCATGGGCTATTCAGTACTCTTTGTCAGCACTACAATTCAAAAGCATTGTTTTGTTATCCTTAGTCATTGCCCAACTTTCAGATGCAATAGAAAGCAATTGAAAATATGTTGGCCTGGGTCAGGCACATTTTGTAGGCTTTAACATTTTTGTCCTTTAGCATTTAGGAGAGGTCATTAACAGGAGATTTCCATAGTGCAACATGTTTTGATTTTTTTAAATTTCTTCCACTGTGGGTGTTTGTTGATTGTGGATACAAGGAAAATTAAATTACCGACAACTTCAGTCTTTTTTTTCCATCTGCCCTGTTGCCTTTTGCTTAGTGGTGAGAATTGGGGATTTGATATTAAGAAAACAAAAGGTTTTACATGAGCACAATTAAGTGCTCTGGGATTCCCATTCTTCTCAATGCTAGCCATTATTTTGATCTACATAGTCGAATGCCTTAACATAGTCAATAAAACACAGATATCCTTCTGGTAATCTTAGCTTTCAGCCAAGACCATCTGGCACCTATAGTATATACCTGGTGCCATGGCCTCTTCTAAATCCAGCTTAAATTTCTGTCTGTTCCCTGTCAATGTCATATTCTAGCTGTTTTAAAATAATCTTCAGGAAGATTTTGTGTGCATATGTTACTATTGATATTGTTTGATAATTTCTATATTCTGCTGGATCACCTTTTTTAAGAAAGGGAACAAATATAGATCACTTCTAGTCATTTGACCATGTAGCTCTCTTCCAGTTTTCTTGGCACAGAGTGGTGAGCAGATCTAGTTTGTTGGAACATGTCAATTAGTATTCCGTCAATTCTTAGGGCTTTATTTTTTCCCATTATTTCAATACAACTTGA